TTGTACAGATAGAGCGGGAGGGAGAGAGAGGAAGAGAAACAGAGAGAAACATCGATGTGAAGGGACACATCGAGTGGCTGCCACCCGCACGACCAACCAGGGCCGGGGACAAACTGCAACCGAGGTATGCGCCCTTAGTGGAACCGAACCCGGGTCTCTCTGTACCGCAGGTCGACACTCTAACCGCTGAGCCAAACCGGCCAGGGCTGATTCTGTGTTCAGAAAGCCCCTAAGGTTTCCAAGTTCTTCAGGCTAGCACCTCAAGAATGTTAGTCATTCCGTATATTGTAGAGTAACCCTTCTCTCGCTCAGAGCTTCCGGTTCCCATCTCCTGAGCACACTGTAGACAAAGCGCGGCCTCAGAAGGTGGCCCCGAAGCCCGTGTGCAGCTGGACCGCACCTGCCCCACAGTTCTGAGGAGGCCCCTCGGCCCAGCGTCCCTGGATTCTGAGCAATGTCCTCCGATGTGTCTTCATCTTGGATCACGCTGTCTTCCCCCTCTGAAATGTCGTCCCTCCTTTATTTTTGCGTAAACAGCACCTGCACAGGCCTCGGGCTCGATCTGGAGCTACCTTCTCTGCACACAGGCTTTCCTGCCGACGGCCTCGCCCCAAACGCTCACTGAGGAGAGACAGCTACATGTGCTTTACATCTTAGAAAGCCAGAGATTTCGCAACGCCAAAATAATCTTAATATAATTAGATAACGTATTTGATATGAGAATTTCATGTACACTTCTGACGTGGATTGGGTTTAGTTACACCCTTGCAATTGGGCTGGGTTTTTTCAGACACACATTGAATCTCAGCCGCTTGAGGTCTGTTTTGTTTTCAGTTCTAGGAAATGTGATGCCGAGACCGAGCCATCGGGAGAACAATGACATCAATCCAATTCTTTGCAAACAAACACCAGGTTAAATGTGCGCATCAGGCTGTGGCGGAGCTGTTTGTCGGCGACATTCCTGGTGGGCCTGTTCCAGGGGCATTTTCAGCGACAGGGCAGGGCAGTGTGACCGACAGGGCAGGGCAGTGTGACCGTGTTCCCGTGTTCCTGTGACCGAGGCAGCGGCTCCCTTCTGGCAGTTGCTGTGCTGCCTTGCCCCAGGCCCTGCACAGCGAAGGTGAGACGGCCTTGAAAGGCTCCGTTCTAGACCAGGACTTTTCTTGCTGATCTAGAGGGAACACGGAAAGGGTGCAAGTGTGGCCAAGAGGCTCGGCAGGGGGATTGGAACACCTCTGTCCTAATTGCTCCATCTGATAAACAGGGGAAAGTTTCCTCTTGTGTGTTCCTGACCAACCCTGGGGGAGGTGGGCTCTCTTGCTTTGGAGTCTACTGTTTCCATCCCTAGAAGCAAGAGGAAAGCTCAAGCATTCTAATGACCCTCCCATGTGGGCTGAGATTCAGCTGTTCCTGAGCCTGCCTGCCGCCCCCCACCCTCCCTGCAGACGTGTGCACCCTGGACCAGGGGCGAAAGCCTGCTGCTCAGACTGAAATGCAAGGCTAGACCTGGGGTCCAGGTCACGGTCAGCCTACTTGGTACCACATCCATTTCACCGTCTCTGTACTTTCTTTTCAGTGACCCTCCCTCTCTTTCCCGACTCCCTGGCAATTAAAGAGCTTTGGCAACTTGACTCACTAAATTTTTATTAACCCCTTCTTTATATCCCAACTGTCCATGACCATAGCTTCAGCTCGGATTGTGTAGCCCGAACTTGTTGAACTGACACTGCATCTGCTCAAGGCCCTTGAATCAGTGTGCTGCGCACTACCGGAGCGAGCGCTTGGAAAGGCAAGTATGTCCCTGTCACTCTGAAAATCCTTCGGGAGCTCCGTGACGTCACAGGACAAGCCCCAAGCTCCCCGGGAAGCACACAGCCTCTGGGTTCCGCCGCAGCTTGGGCAGGGCTCCCGGCTCGGCTCGCACCTCGCGTACGCAGCTGCCCGAGGGCCCAGGATTCCCAGGCCCTGTGTCCGTGACGTCACAGGACAAGCCCCAAGCTCCCCGGGAAGCACACAGCCTCTGGGTTCCGCCGCAGCTTCGGCAGGGCTCCCGGCTCGCACCTCGCGGACGCAGCTGCCCGAGGGCCCAGGATTCCCAGGCCCTGTGTCTGCTCTGTGATTTCCTCGGCGCGCTTCTTCTCTTTACGTTTCGCTCTTCAGCCGGACCTTACAGAAGCACTGGCTCACCTCTCCCTCCTCCAGCTGCTCTGGGCCAGGGGCTCCCCCCTGTGTTCATGGAGAACACGCTTCTCACCTCCGTCCCGGCCGCGTCTCCCCGTGACGCAGCCAGACCCCTTCAGACAGAGCGCCTGGTAGTGGGGATCACACTTACTATTTAACAAGGTAGATTTTTAAAATAGAATATTTATTGAGGTAACATTGGATTATACAAAATTGATTCTTAGTCTTCCAGAACTTCCGATAGTGCTAAGCTTTTTCCTGCATTGGGGTCTCTGCATAATTAGTTCTGCCTGGAATAATTTTCTCCTTGCATTCTCCTATTTCCTACATAGCGCATGTTATGATTTCAAGGTTTTTTTGTTGTTGTTCAGATAGAGTGGGAGGGAAAGAGAGGAAGAGAGAGGAGAGAGAGAGAGAGAGAGATCGATGTGAAATGGACACATCGAGTGGCTGCCACCCACACGACACAACCAGGGCCGGGGACAAACTGCAACCGAGGTACGTGCCCTCAGTGGGAACCCAACCCGGGTCCCTCTGAACTGCAGGCCGACGCTCCAACCGCTGAGCCAAACCGGCCAGGGCCATTTCGAGTTTTCATGAAGGTAATGCACCTCTGGTTACCCCCCAGCACTGACGTCAGAGCCCCTAGTGCAAAATGCACATGAGTGACCTTTGGTGATCTCCTCACGCTCTGCACAGGCTCCAGTTCCCTACTGTGAAATGGGCTGATCATCTGTGAGCCTTAAGTTAAATTTCATAACATGTGCTGAACAGACATGTGCCTGGCCTCTGGCTGAAACCTATGTGCTCTGCTTCCACATGCATGTGTGTAGAAGTCTGAACACTGTTTCACCTTCCACTCCAAGAAGCCGGGGATTCCAGTGTCTTCTTTACTACTGAATCCCAGGGCCCAGCAGGAATACTAGTGCGTGAGAAATAAACTCGTGTAATCTGTCTGACGAATAAATGACAGTCCTTACTTTAGAATGTGGGCTGAAGATAAGGAGGGAGCTGTGACCGCCTGGCAGAGTGGCATCAGAAGCAGTATCAGTGGCCTTCATTGATCACCCACTGGCGTCCTAACCCTTACGTTCACTCTGCTACATAACCAGGCGACTCTGTTCCCTTCAGTTTCCTTCGGGTGAAAGTAGCCGAGTGGAACCATGCCCGGGTTTCTAGAGAGGAACCTGCGCCCTTACTCCACCAGAACGGGAGGGACGAGAAGCTGCGGTCAGCGTGCAGGTTAAGGTGACCTGCTCTAAGGGGACAGAGAGCGGAGGGGGCTGTGCTACGAGAACAGAACGACAGGTGGCATCGAAATAACCAGGTGATGTAGGCAGGTGATGTAGGCAGGTGATGTAGGCAGCTTTTTAAGCAGGTTAAACTCCAGCAGGATCCTGTCACTTATTTTAGTGAGGCCCTTAGCTTCTGCCCATAAAAACCATCTTATAATATTAGTGGTCTAGACAGCGGAAAGGTAAGCACAACTTTTCACTTTTTTTTTATCCGCACCGAGGACATTTTTGCATTTATCTTCAGGTAGAGCGGGAGGGAAAGAGGGAGGAAGAGAGAGAGAAACATCAGTGTGAGAGAGACACCTCAACCACTTGCCACCCACATGACCCCAACGGGGCCAGGGACAAACTGCAACCCAGGTGCGTGCCCTTTGCAGGAACCGAACCCGGGACTCTCCAGGGCAACTTTTCGCCTTTTAGTAGGGAAAGAAGTAAAGCTCCGTAAAAGAAGGGAGACCAAAGGCCAGCTCTCCTAGGTTAGGTTTTTTTGTTTTCTTTTTCATCACAAAACTTTGAACAAAAAAATTTAAAACAGAAGTCGGTGGGTAGAGGGAATGAGAACAGTCATGCTAGAAAACCGAGGCGGAGGAAAGGGCCAGTGGCTGAATGCAGCCAGGCAGAGAGGACGATGACCGTAAGTTACCCAGTTCTCATTCTCTCCTAAGGCCAGCTCGGGGTCAGGAACGGGGCGCTGCAAGTCCTGTGTACACGCCAGACATCTGACAAACCAGTGGGCCATCATGGTGGCCCTGTGCACCCTGAACACTGACGACCCAGGGCCAGCTTCCTTTTCCACTAAGAACCAGGATCAGCTCCTCTGCAGGCCACTTGAGTACGTGTTAAACATTTTCATTCATGTCCTGTACCTGCTCCTCCGCACGTACGTTTACCATAGCATGCAGCCTTCGAGGGGGCAGTCATGACTGTGCAAAGGTGAAGCCCAGGCGGGCAGCAATGGTTTCAGAGGAGGAAGGGGAGCAGCTCCTGCTATAGGTGCAGTTCTGGCCCAGTATAGAATCAGTCACTGCATTTCAGTCCCCTAAGAAAGACACTAGGGGTGCAGGTTCCCTCTTTGGTCGGATGACAGAGGGCTTCCCAGTAGTTGTTGCTTCCCTACAGAACAACCCGAATGCCCCTTTATCGTTTTGTATCTAGAGCCTTTGATCTATCAGCCAGATTTTTAAAAAAAGCAATTCTAGTCCTGTTCAGATGGCTCAGTTGGTTGGAGCATTGTCCTGTACACCAAAAGGTTGTGGGTTCGATTCTCTGTCAAGGCACATACATACTTAGGTTGCAGTTTCGATCCCTGGTTGGGGCATGTACGGGAGGTAACCAATTGGTGTTTCTCTCCCATGCTGATGTTTCTTTTCCTTCCTCTCTCTCTAGAAATTAGTAAAACATATCCTCAGGTGAGGACTAAGAAAAACAAAACAGCACTTCTAGCACTTTCTGACGCAATGAGGGAGACTGGGGGACCGAGGAAAGGCAGGGGGTGAGCAGGGGCTCCAGCAGGCCGACACTCACCACTTTCTGGTTCCCTTCGTTATCCGTGAGCAGCCACTCGATGTCCAGGGTGTCTTTCTCCGGGAGCCCCAGCTGATGGTGACAGGGCAATGTGACCTTTTCCTCTGCCACTCGCTTGATCTCAGTGTGAGTCCCCAAGGCTCCAGCATAGTAGGAACCTGAAAGAGAAACACCCGACGTGAGCAGGGCAGACACGGGATGCTCTGTGGGCAAGGGGCACGTCGAGGTGCAGACAGGGTCCGAGACCAGACGTGTAGAAGCCCCGGACCTCACACTGGCCCCTCCATGACTGAGCTCATCCTATCTTCCTAAATCATGTCCCCTCCCTCGAATTACACTTCTCCCAATGCCCGTCTTTCCTTATAGGGGTTTGATGAATAATGAAATCACTCAGGTTAACAACAACTGTGTTTTTTTTATTTTTCTCTCCCCTATTAGCGGAGGCTTCCAACAGGACAGACACCCAACGGGAAGGCAGGGGTGCGCATCCTCCCCGAACAGGCTCCAGACAGCAGCCCACTCCCTAGAGCCTTCCTAGACGCCCACCCCCGAGGAAGGGCAGGAACCCTTTCTGCCCACAGCAGAGTTCTGAGTGACCACCTGCGGATCCCAGCCCCCCGCTGACCCCACACCCATTCAGCCAAAGGAATTCAGTCCCACTTGCAGCGTTCTGTCCCGCTAACTTGCATCTTTTTCTAGGAATGGTTTCTGTCCGTGACTTTGGACTTCAAGCTCACCCCCTCTCCCATCCGTTCATCTCTCTTAGAGCCTGGCTAAGGCTCTGACCCCGCGACGGTCACATCTGCAGTGTGTGAGGAGTGTGGCACTCAGGGTGTGCTTATCCCCGCATCTCTCTTTATCTCCTTACTCAGGGAAAAAGGGTGCAGTGTGAAGAATGATCTCTCTCCAGCCATTCACAGTGCGACAGTGTTATACAACCTCCGAGTGAAAGCACCCCAAGTGCCAGGGCTCGTGTGAAGACCTCTGCCCTGGAGCGAAATCGCTCTGCCAACTCAGAAGGGTTTTAAGCACTAAAGACCAAGGCTGTGACTATCAGAAGCATATAAGCTACCTCCCTCTTCCCTGTCCATCTCCCAACATGATTAGCAGCGGATCTCTGGGAAGGAGAAGGGCTCGTATTCTTGCCTACAGGAAAATGAAGTGAGGAAGAAGGGAGCAGGGCGACTGGCTTTCTCTACAGGAGGCTGGTTGGGGTAGAGCCCTGGGAGGCTGCCCCCCGAGCAGCAGCAGGTGGATTCCTGAGCTCCGCCGCAAAGGAAGGAGCCTGTAGAGTGCTGCTGAGTATAAAGAGCAGCCTTGAGCCCTGGCTGGGTGGCTCGGCGGGCTGGGCGTTGTCCCACGCACTGAAAGTTTGCTGGTTGGATTCCAGCCAGGCCATACGCCCAGGTTGTGGGCTCAATCCCTAGTTGGGGCGTACAGGAGGCAGCCGATCAGTGTTTCACTCTCACATTGATGTTTCTCCCTCTCTCTTTCCCTCTCCCTTCCTCTCTCTCTAAAAATCAATAACGAAAAAAAAGCAGCAGCCTTCAGAACCAACTGGACAAGTCTGTGTGGTCTTACTGCCATTCTCAACAATGTTTCTGTCATTTCTGTTTAGGACTCGACACTGCGAGGGGAGTGGCCACCATGCAGTGTTGGGCTCTAGAATGAACATTCAGATCTATGAAGAAATGACTGCTCTCCAAATGTACTGAGGAAATGTAAAGAGGGAGGTGCAACTTGCCCAATATCACAAGCGAGGAAGCGACCGAGCAGGGGCTCCACCCAGATCCGTCTCATTGCAAAGCTCCCCTTCCCATGTTTTATGGGGCTTCCTGGATTCTGGTTCTCCCCTTAGCCAGGAAGCTCCTTGAGATTAAGTACCACTCACCACAGCACCAGCCCGGAATCTCACACACCGTAGGTGCTGAATGAATATTTGTTGGATTTATTTGAGTCAGTGCCATGTGCTCATTTTACCAATGAACAAACTGAGGCTCTGGGATAAGGGAGTCAGCCCAACATCCTACAACTTTTTTAAGGAAGTTGATTTTAGAGAGAGAGGAAGAGAGAGGGAGAGAGAGAGGAAGAGAGAGGGAGAGAGAGACAGGAATACTGATGAGAGAGAACATCAATTGGCCTCCTCCTGCATGCCCCCCACTGGGGATCAGGCCCACAACCTGGGCATGTGCCCTGACTGGGAACTGAACTAACGACCTCTTGGTGCAGGGTCGACACTCAACTAGAGAGCCACACTGGCCAGGCTTTTCTTTTGAATTTTTATAAGAGTTTATTTGTGCCAGAAATGACAAAATATGCCAGGGACCAAGATCTCAAATGCTCCCCAGAATATGAGTTTTGCAGTTTCTTTGTGTTTTTGTTGTTTATTTGCTCACAGAACCCAGGCAAGGAGGCTGTAACTCCTCCAGCGTGGGTGCGCTGTCACAGTCCCCCAGAGACAGGGAGCTTTTTCAACACACATATTTCATAGACTGAGCCACATATTTCGAGGATGAATCCATTGAGAAGATAATAGTAACTTATTGAAAGGTGATTCCCATAACCAGTTGAGTATTTCATTCACATGAAAACACTCAGCAGGAAAGTCTTTCACATTTTTGTGTGCAAAGAGCTGGGCTGGCGCTGCCTTTGGGGGCAGACGGGTGTCCCGGATGACTGTCTTAAGGAGGGCGCTCAGGCCAACGACAGCCTTCCTGCACTGGCGGACACTCCTTCCATTTCAAATTGAGCCATGTTTCTGGATCAGACCATGTGGGCTTCAGGCAGAGGAGGCAGGAGGGAGCACACTGGCCGCTGGCGACCCGTCTTGCTTGCATGGATGCCATGGAGAAAAAGGCCAGCGGTAGCCGTTAACAGAAGCTAGGATGCTGCATTTCAAACATCTATATCCCTCTTACTAAAGCAGAGAATGCTCCTACTTCTCAGATACTTGCTGGATGCCTACAGGGCACAAGTGGCGTAGGAGCTCAGTTAAGTCTGCAAGCTTACTCTCTCCAAGGAACAGGTGCCCGTGCCGCCATCATCAACACGGCGCCTGGCACCCCAGGGTCCTCTCTAGGAGAGGCCACAGTGCTTGGGGCACAGGGCAGAACCAGCTGTCGTTTATCGGGCTGTGCAGACATGCAGTTCACAAGAAGAAAGTGAGAGAGCGTGGTGGCTACAGTTCCACGCCAGGCGCAGGCCTGTGCTGCCCACGCTCTTTCACGCCGAGCAGGGCACCGCCAGCGGGCGCCGGAGCTGTGCCAGCACCTCCCGCCACTCGGGGATCGCTCTCTCCTAACGGGCCTGTTCATGTCCCTGAGCGGCAGGAGGATTTTCGAGTGTTTGCTTTGCGTGAAATGTTTGAGAAAGCCTCAGGAAAGTCAAACTCATCCAGTGGCAGTCAGAAAAAGGAAAAGGACTTTGAAAAATTTTAAATCAACTTCTCCCATTTTATAGATCAAGCAATTGAGGCTTAGAGAGAAGTGATGCTCCTAATTTATAGACTAACGTACACACAGTTCTCTAGGGGTGTGTGTGTAGCGGTACCTCCCAGACTGTTCCTGGAACACTGCGATTCGAGACGCAGCGCGACGCCGCAGACGGGCATGAGCTCTGCAGTCAGACGGATGCGCCGTCCAGTAGTGGCCGAAAACCAGCGACTTCCCTGACCACGCTTCGTCAGATGAGTGTAGAAACACCCACTGGGAAAGACGGCTGTGAAGATGCATGAGAAATGCCTGGCACGGGCACATCATGGTACACGGCACATACTCAAACAATGGGAATTATTATGATAATAATTGTATGCACTGTACTTAGAAAACCCAGAAAAATAGGCAGAGGAGGTGAAGCAGAATCACGAGGAGTTACTTGAAAGTCATTTTGTTGATAACTTACTATTTGAACATATTTGCTTCATCTCTTTCTTCATATATGTATTATACATAATATCTGTATCTCTGCACCAGTTGAATGTAAGTTGCAGACAGCACATTTACCTCTAAATGTTTCATCAAGCACCTCCCTCCCACAACATCATCACACCTAAGAAATGAATAATATCGCACGGAGATCATTTCACTTCGTACGGAGATCATTTCTGACCAGAGTGTCAAGGGAGACTCTGGGTGTGGGGCTGAGCTGGGTCTGGAAGGACAGACAGGCTTTTCCGCTCGGACGTGCAGGAAGGACAACGCCTTCTTGGTGCAGGGGCAGCTTGAGCAGATGGGCAGCTTCTGTCTTCTCCTGTCAGACCCCTCACCGTGAACCAGGGAGGTTGCTCTTCTATATTAGAAACATTTTTTAAAAAAATATATTTTTATTAATTTTTTAGAGAGAGAGGAACGGAGAGATAGAAACATCTATGTGAGAGAGAGACATTGATTGACTGCCTCCTGCAAACCCCCTACCGAGGATCGAGCCTGCAACCCTGAACCGGAATCGAACCAGAACCTCTCAGTCTATGGGATGCTCAATCCACTGAGCCACAGCAGCCAGGAAACCTTCTACATTTTTTGCCTTCTCAACCAACCCCAGAATCTCTCTAGCCTTCTCTATGAAGACTTTATGAAGTCTTCAGAAAAGAAAAACCGTATTCAGCCCTGGCCAGGTGGCTCAGTTGTTTGGAGCATTGTCTTGTGCACCAAAAGACAGCACGTTCAATTCCAGGTCCGGGCACACACCCAGGTTGTGGGTTTGATCCCCAGTCAGGGCATGTGCAGGAGGAACCGATCGATGTTTCTCCCTCTCCCTCTCTCTCTTCCTTCCTCTCTGAAAAAAAACAAAAAACAAATCAATAAATTAAAAAAAAAAAAAACAACATCCACTATGAGCTGCTAAAGGACTGATACATTTGAATGTCTTCTCAAACAGAAATGTATCTTTGACATTTAGAGAAAGACTAAAGCTAACGAATGAACCTCGCAAGTCATCAGTGGAATTTCAGACATCTGGGATCATTGTAGTGGCTTGTTACTTCTTCCCCAGGGGGCGAATATTTGTTCCTGTAGCCCCTAAAATTAATGGTGTGTGTGCAGGGACAAAGGTGGCAGCCTAAGCTTTGGGCTCCGGTCCTGGGTGGGGGGACACGCAGATATCAACCTCCTCCCCATTCCCTGAAGGAGAGGGGAAGCAGGACAGCCCTGGACTGATAGAA